TCCATACTCCAAGCACTTCTCATTTGCACAGCCCTGGTTTCTCTCCCTGACTATTAATATTCTTGATTAATAACAGTTAAAATGCTCAAATTTTAGTTTTTGTGACTGCTGCCAATACTGACTTCCCAGTGATAATGAAAACAGCTGCATTATAATGGAATGTCTGTCCTTTTCCCATTCACTTCATTATATACCGTGGCTCGCTTTAAAGCAGCAAAGTGGACAGGAGCCACACACTTTGCTGTTTTAAATAGCTTAGTACAACATTTGAGTCCGATTTTTTTTTCTTGTTTTCCTGCTCTAAAAACTTGGTGCGTCTTTTCGTCAGGAGCGTCCTATGGAGCGAAAAATACGGTATATCCTCAGTTATGACGTTATTGACTATCAGTCTCGCCTTCTGCTCAGTGTATATAGACCTTATGCCATTTAGAAATTCTTGTCCCACCTCCATCGCTTCCAGATTTTTTAACATGAAGTCCCATATTACATTATCGAAGGCTTTCTCTGCGTCTATGAAGATTAGACAAGCTGATTTATCGGAACTCTCAGATAGATATTCAATGAGATTGATTATATGTCTTGTATTACTTCTTATTAACCTGCCCGGGAGAAAGCCTGTCTGGTCTTCATGTATTATCCTTCTTAGTATCTTTTTTAATCTTTTAGCCAGGATGCCAGCGAAGATCTTATAGTCCGTGTTTAATAAAGAGATGGGTCTATAATTCTTAACTTGTGTCAGATCAGCATCTTGTTTAGGAATGATTGTAATAAAGGCCTCTTTCCACGATCCGGGCATATCTCTTTCTTTTAAGATGTTATTCATTACTTCGGTTAGAGGTGTCATCAGCGTATCTTTAAATTCTTTATAATAACTCGATGTAAATCCATCAGGGCCCGGTGCCTTCCCTCTTTTCAGTTCTTTTATCACTTCTTCTACCTCTAATCTATCAATTGGGGCATTTAACTGTTTTTTTTGCTCGGGAGACATCTTTTTAACGGTCTTTTCTTTTAAGTATCTTTCTATTTTTTTCTTGCTGTTCCTTTCTTTATATCTATATAGTTGTTCGTAAAAATCCGTGAATCCTTTCCTGATTTCCTTCGAGTCGGTTGTTTCTTCTCCATTTATTCGTATTTTGTTAATTGTGTTTTGCTCTTTCCTTCTTCTGACTTGCCACGCAAGCCATTTGCCTGATTTATTGGCGAATTCGAATTTTTTTTGTTTTAGCCTTTTAATATTCCACTCGACCTCCTTGTTTATCATCATTGCAAATTGTGATTGAAGGGATTTTATTTCCTGCATTATTCTTTCATTATTTGGTTTTTTAATCAACTTCTGTTCATTGTCCATTATCTGTCTCAAGATCTCTTTTGACCTCTTTTCCCTATTCTTTTTTTTCAGGGCATTTTGTTGGATAAAAAGGCCCCTCATTACAGCCTTACTTGCATCCCAAACCGAGCTTGTTTTCACCCCTTTATCTATATTATCTAAGAAGTATTCTCCTAATTTTTTTCGAATTCTTTCAACAAATCTTTGATCATCCAATAAGTTGTCATTTAGTCTCCATCGGAATGTTCGTTCTTCCAGACCCTTCACCTCCATTTCAATTGGGTTGTGATCAGATATTACTTTGGGCTGGATTTCAATTTTTTTTATTCTTGGTGTCAGTTCGTTCGATATCCATATTTGATCTATTCTTGAGAATGATTGGTTCGGTTCAGAGTGATATGTAAATTGTTAATCAAGGGGATGTTTCAGTCTCCATATATCAATGAGGTTACAGTTCTTAGCTAGTGTGAAAAATGTCTTGGGTAGTTTCCCTTGTTTATTCTTTGAGTTTCTTAGTCTGTCCAAATCAGTTGAGACCACATCATTCAGATCTCCCATTATTATGATTTTTTGGTCCATATATTCGAATAACTTTTCTTCCAGTGAGCTAAAGAATTCTGTTTTATTCCCGTTAGGGGCATAAATCCCTACTATTATCACTGTTTCGCCTTGCCATTTAATGCGAACCGCAATTATTCTCCCTTCCTCATCTTTAAATAATTGGTGTGCTTCAATTTTGTTTTTAATATATAGTACTACCCCTCTTTTTTTCCATTATCTGAAGAGATGAATTCATTCCCTAACCTCCTATTGACCAGGATTTTTCTGTGTTTCTTAGCCACATGCGTTTCTTGTAGGCACATGACATCCGGATTTGTCTTTTTTTAAAATACGCTCAATTCCATTCCGTTTTTTCTTATCGTTCAACCCATTAACATTCCAACTCCATAATTTTAATGACATTTTATTTTATTTTTTGTTTCTTTATTTATTTGACCTAAAATCTCTCTAACTCTTCTCCTTCTGTATCTTCTTCCTCTTCCTCTGGCTTTCTTTCAGTCTGTTCTTCCTCTTCTCCTGATTCTATGTCCTCCCTCCGTCCTATTCCTCCTTCGGCCCCTTTCGGCTCTTCCTCTCCTTGTTGGAGATCTTTGTATCTTCTTGTGAACTTTCCTATTTCCTCGGGGTTTATCAGCCTTCTTTTGATTCCTTTATAAAAGAAAGAAACGCCCTCCGGGAATTCCCAGCGGAAATCTATTCTATTTTTCTTAAGCAGATATACCAGTGGTTTATAGGGTTCTCTTCGCTTCAACAGTCTTATTGGAATATCTTTAAATATGATTATGTAATTTCCCTCGATGTACAATCTCTTCTCTCTGTTTTTTTGCAAGATCAGATTTCTCATCTCTTTATCTTTAAAGGTGACTAAACAATCTCCTGGGAGTTTCTTCGCTTTGCTTGTTTTAGTTCTCAGTCTATATGCATTTTGTATTGTTCCTGCCACTTCCTCCTCCGCTAACTCCATCCATTGTGCTATTTCCTTTATCAATCTCTCTTTTATATTTTCATTTTGTAGTTCCGGGATCTGTCTCAGTCTTAAATTCACTTCCCTTTGTTTAAGTTCATTCATCGCAATAGAGTCTTTTAAATCTTCTTGCGTTTTGTGTAAGTCTGCTATCTCACCTTTCATTTTTTCTTCTTCCCTTCTCATCTCTTTCATTTCCTGTTTAGTCTTTTTTAACCCCTCGTCCATTCTTTTTGATACCTCCTTAATCTGTCCTTTAAGCTCACTTACTGTCTCTTCAATTTTTTTGTCCATTTTTCCAATTTTGTTATCTACCTGCTCTAATTTTGTCTCTAAGTTTTTCTCACTTTGCTTTATTTCTGCGAACATCCTCAAAATTTCTGTTCTAAATTCTGTTTCCTGTTTCGAAGCTTTCCTGTCCGTTGGGGTGCCCCCCTCCGCCCCTTTTTTTTGGGTGTGTGACATTGTCACGTCTGTTTAGGTGTCAGGTGATCCCCTTGTTATTCCCTGACAATCCGTCTTCCTATAAAACAGAACTATTACCCTTGAGACGTCTCTTGGGTTTAGAGCCTTATCCCTAAACCGCTACCCAGTTGACCGCCACTAGGGGACAATAACAGGAGGGGAAAAGAATATTCAGCCTTACCTAAATAGATAACAGATAACTAAAATCAGCACAAAGTACAATGGCTTCGTTCGCAGTTCCCCTCCAGAAAATTATGTTTAACTACTGTCCCTTCCCAAACCTTGTAATAAGATAGTTCAGCATTAGGTCTCAGGACCGTACAAATTATGGTCTTCCTGCCCCTATTCGGGCTAGTCCGACCGAAATCTGTCGGGAAATTTATCTCACCAGGAAGAGCTCACATCTATGGTAGATTCCAGTCAGGATCCTAGTGTCCATTAACCTAATGTCCGAAAGTTTAATTTGTAAATTTAGCAATCCAAATAACCCAAGCAGTCCAAGTTTAGATGATGGGAATTGTGAGGAAGCGGCTTCCGAAGCTATAAATACATAAGCTGGATTCAGCTAACAGTTTAGATGAACGTGTTAGCTGTGTCTTGACAATGAGCGTTCGTATTTCTTTAGACCAGGAGGAGAGTTCTCTCCCTATGACCAAAACTCAAATGAAATGCGAATGAAGAAGTGCGGATGAAGTTCCCTTTAGTTCTGGAACAAAAACGCAGTGTGTTGGTAAAACACCCACCACAGCGGGAGCCAGTCTATCCGGTCTACTTCCAACCTCTAAAAAGAGTTTTCTTTTAGTTGACTCCCCCAGCCGGGGTGGCAACGCAATGGAACGGTGGTAAATACTGAGGTAACCCCTCCAGCTGTGAGCTGCAAGATTTTAGTGTCCTATATCCCCTTGTTAAGAGTTTTTAGAGTCACTTTTACAGCTTTGAAATGGCGTCTGAGGCACCTCTTCCTGCTTCTCCCACCTAAAATGGCGTTGAAGAGTCTTCTAACTGCTTAAAGTTTCCCAGGGGTATTTAAATAGCAGTCCCGTCTCTATTCCAACTATGTGATAGCCCTGTTGGCTGGGTATTCTCCTCTATCACGCCTCCTTTCTGCTCCCTCTTAGCTTTCCCCCTTTATAAAAAAAAGGGAGTTATCTTTTAACTTTAGCTGCCCGAGGGAGACGGAAACAGTATCCACTGGCGGTAACTTACTTTCTTTTTCGAGCTCTGCTCGCGACGCTGCGGTTTTCCAATGAAGTCAGAGCCGGCGCTGAACTCAAACTTTCTCCACTTTTTACTCGGAGACTTCCTTAGTATGTTTTTATATCCAATTTGATGTGTAAATCTGTTCTATGGTTCCGAGTCTCTTCGTTTCTGAGAGCGGAGCGCTATCCCTTGCAGGCTCGGGGCTTCGCTAAATCGCCATTCAAAACGCCGCTGTAATGGCTGCCCGACTGCCGACCGCTCGTTCCGTCGTACTCTTCGCCTTTCCAAAAAGACTACCTGACGACCGGACAGGCGGCTGCCTGGCACTGCCGGGTACCCGGACCTCTGGACACCCACCAGAGGGTTGAAGGAAGGTTTTTGGCGCCCTAAAGACCTCCAAAATCTGGCGAAAAAGCTAGGGTTTCCTCCGCAGAAAGAACCCTCGCCTGCTGTAGGTTCCGCGCTCCACCGGAAGCCTCTTCAGAGCCTTTTCATTCCTCTTCCTTTCATATTTTTTCTTCTTCACTGCTAGTGCTTCAAGGGGAGATATCCACCACAGAGTTTTAGGTTCAAGCAAATCTTTGTATTTTCCCAAACCATATAGAGAGGTTTCCTTATAATATGATTATTTTTTGTGTGTGGATCTTAACTTTATCATAACCTTAAGTAGGCATGCCAGCCATAACGATTGTATTGTCCTTCCAGGTCTAGAAGGTCTGTGTTTTGTAGTGTACACCATTCCTTGATCCAGGAGAGATAGGCCGCTGCATGAGACCTGTAGCAGACTTGGAGAACGTGGTTCAGAGTTTTGGGCATCTGGCACCCGCCGCGACATAGCCGGTCAGCTCTCCGCCCCCTGGCCAAGCGGGACCTGGTTGGAAGCGCATTGATGTGCATCTGAATGGAGTTACGATAGTCCTTGCCTGACAGGAACTTAGTGCAGCCGTAGACCCAGTTGTGCTGGCTATGGGTTTTCCCAGACTCCTTCAATGCACAGCCATCCACCGATTGGTACAGGAGACTGGCCCATCGGCGTTTTTGTGCCTGAGCTGGGAACAGGCAGTTCCCCCTCTCTAGTATCCGCCCCTCTAACAGAGAGAGCTCCCACCTCAGAAAGGTCCCAGATGTAGACTGCTCCGTCCTTACCAGTGGCAGTCGTAGGAGCTGATCCCTACAAAGTCGTAGCATCATCCAGCGCATCGCCGGAATTCCTAGGCCTCTGTCATTGACCTTAGTGTGGAAGTACGCGACAGGTGTACTATCCGGGAGACCTAGCCACTTTCTCACTGCCGTCCTCACACAGCGGTCCACTCTGTTGAGCAGCCCCACTGTGGTTGAGCCCATAGAGAGCTGATGGTATAGCGACGGCATGAAAGCCAAACATCCATTGCTGAGGCTTCAAGGCAGCTTTGCCGATGGTGTCCAGGAGCTCCCTGAGATGGTCCAGAGGCCGAGTTGCCATGCATCCTTCTGGCGTGAAGGGCACGGCCAGGTAGTGCCACTGGTCCGACTGTTTGAGAGCTTGCAATGGTTTGCTGTTACAGGTGAATACCTGCCGCAGGTTCACCACTGTTTTCTTCTCCTTGGGGATGACTTCCAAGGATACTGTCAAGCTCTTCCCAGAGTTTACAGTGAGGCCACATAGTGCTAGATGTCTACCCACTATGCCGATGGTAGTTTGTAGCCCTACTGGTGTAGACGCCACAAACACCAGGTCGTCTGCAAAGGCTACGCCGTTCACTGTCATGCCTTCTCCCAGGTCGGCCCCTAACTCCTTCGGTATCTTCCGGAGGAGACGGTCCATGATCATATTAAATATGCAGGGTGACATGGGGTCACCCTGCTTCACCCCACACCTGGGGTGAAATTCCTGGGAGGTCGCGCCACCGCACGAAAGTACGGTGGTACTCCGGTCATAGACATCACTTATATAGTGTGTCATTGGGTCGGGGATCCCCATCATCTGAAGGGTTTCCTTGATGGTACTATGGGCCACAGAGTCAAACACTTTCGCCACGTCCAGGGATGCCAAGTACAATGGTTTCGACCGCTGCTTGTGGTTCCGGAGTACCATATCCAGGAGGAAGATGTTTTCGGAACACCCATCGAACTGCTGGAAGGCCCGTTGTCTAGGGTCTAGGTTGACTTCCCGAGTCAACCGCGCAGCCAGGACCTTGTGGAAGACTCTGGTCAATACTGGGGAGACAGTTATGGGGCGGAAGTCTCCCGGATCTTGGGCACGATCTTTTTTGGGAATCAGTGTTGTTCGAGTCCCCAGCAACGACTGGGGGCATTTCCCACATACCATAATTAGGTTGAAGAGCCGCTCCAGCGCACCTAGAGGCAGCTTCTTCACCTGTTCGACAGTCATTCCGTCAGGTCCTGGCGCCGTTGAGTAGCAAATATTCAAACGAGAACCTTGAAGGCCGAAGTGGAGAAGGGTTCCATGTGAACAGCAGTTGAACATGGGTCGGTCGGTCCTAACCAATTCCTGGTAGGCCTGCTGGCGCCTATGGGCTTTTATCGCCTCAGCTGTTCTCTCTGGGAATTTTTCCATCAGGGCTAGGTTCATATGGCATGCCCCCTAGGTTAGGAGTCTAGCCTCTCTTGCCAAGCAGTGCTGTTTCCTCAGGGGTCCATCTCCTTTTCACCTGATGAGTGTTGTGCGTCATACCAATCTGGGTGGGCTCGTCGGTGATGGACACCACGTCCGGTCTTGGTGTTAAAGGCTTTCTCGCAATCTTGGTGTTCGCATACGAAAACTGGTTGTTCCACTGCAGGAACTACACCAGGTCCAGCAGCACAGGAGCTGCTCCTCACCTGGGTGGTTCGGTCAGATGACCCGCCACCTCTCTTTGTGTTTCCGCAACGATTCATTCCCGCAAGGGGTCTGGGTGAGGATGAGCTGAACCTCTCTGGCAAGGACCCAGAGGTTCAGATAAGCCTTCCCTGTTAGCCGCCTAAAGACGTTGCCGCCTAAAGACATTGCCCGACTCTCACCACGAGGAGGTAGGGATAGATTGATCAGTATAACATCACAGATCATCAGCTGCCTTTTTTTTTATCATCATCGGGACGCCACGCCCCTCAGACATTGCTTCTGATTAACTGCAGAAGTACGGATTTTTTATACAAGCAGTCCCGTGCCAGCCTGGGCAATTTCCTGGGCGCTCACAAACCAGCACTGACGGTTGCCGTTGTCTTGTTAAAGATACTATGAGCATAGATGCCACCGATCAACACCCGAGACGAGAGAACCTTGAGATCTTGTTTCCGGACAATACCCAGGGCCAACAGGTCCTCCGCCGAGCGATCACTCCACACTCCTCTGCAGGAGAGCGTTGCAGATGTGGTGCTCAGGTCTTCCACTTGGTAGCGCTCTTTTACCAACTCCAGGAGACTGGTGTTCCCTGCGTAATACTGGACTTTCTGGGCGTGAGCCCTCCGCAGGTCTGCCTGCTCGCCCACCACCTGGGCGTCGATTATATGTGCGGTTCGTCCAATACTCGCTACTATGTCAGGTTTCCTCAAACCTCCTGATGTTCGAAAGTGAGGCTCCAAATCCACATGATACCCCTGTCTCCAAAGTCCTTTAGCGATATATTTTACTACAGCATTATGCCGGCGGACCCTAGCCGCATGAGACCTGTAGCAGACTTGGAGAACGGTGGTACTCCAGTCATAGACATCACTTATATCGTGTGTCATTGGGTTGGGGATCCCCATCTGAAGGGTTTCCTTGATGGTACTATGGGCCACAGAGTCGAATGCTTTCGCCACATCCAGGGATGCTTAATACAACGGTTTCGACCGTTGCTTGTGGTACCGAAGTACCATGTCCAGGAGAAAGATGTTTTCGGAACACCCATCGAACTGCTGGAAGGCCCGTTGTCTGGGATCTAGGTCGACTTCTCTAGTCAACTGCGCAGCCAGAACATTGTGGAAGACTCTGGTCAGTACTGGGGAGGCAGTTATGGGGCGGAAGTCTCCCGGATCTTGGGCATGATCTGTTTTGGGAATCAGTGTTGTTCGAGTCCCCAGCAACGACTGGGGGCATTTCCCACATACCATTATTAGGTTGAAGAGCCGTTCCACAGCGCCTAGAGGCAGCTTCTTCACCTGTTCCACGGTCATTCTGTCAGGTCCTGGCGCCGTTGAGACCGATGATATGGCTCTCTTAATCTCAGCAGCCATCATGGGTTCCCATATGGATGTTATAACATCTCTCCTGGGGCCAGGGCCAGGTAAGCAGTCCGGAGCCCTGGTCATTAGCTTTTCGCAGTACGGAAAGAGGCTCGCGTCATTTTCTATTGGCACGTCCCTGTTCTTATCAAGAGCCCACTTAATACATTTAGTGGGACTCTTATGCCATAGATGTTGGAATTTGGCATATTGCTCTCGCCTCTTCTGCCTATTAGACGTCCGTTGTTCTTGGCTACTTCGTTCCCCTCTCTGCGCCTTCCAGGGTCGTGTACCCTGCATGTCCCGCACAACCAGGGACAGCTCTTCATACACGTCGGTGAGCGTCCTCGACCCGACGGTGGGACTCAGCCTTTCCAATCGCACAAGGTGTTCCGTGGTGGTTGGCATTCTGGGGAGCTGCTGCAGGTGTTGTATCAGCCTGTCACACAACTGGGTATTCGAAGCTTCCACCACAGGTTGAGGGGCTGGTCCGTCTACCACCTCTAGCTGTTCCTGGGTATACGTCGCAACCAATTCCCGGTAGGCCTGCTGGCGCCTATGGGCTTTTATTGCCTCAGCTGTTCTCTCTGGGAATTTCTCCATCAGGGCTAGGTTCATATGGCATGCCCCTGAGGTGAGGAGTCTGGCCTCCTCTCTAGCCAGCAGTGCTGTTTCCTCAGGGGTCCATCTCCTTTTCACCTGATGCGTGTTCTGTTGTGCATCATACCAATCTGGGTGGGCTCGTCGGTGATGGACACCGCGCCCGGTCTTGGTGTTAAAGGCTCTCTCGCAATCTGGGTGTTCGCATACGAAAACTGGGATTTCCACCGCAGGAACTACACCAGGCCCAGCAGCACGGGAGCTGCTCCTCACCTGGGTGGTTCGGTCAGATGACCCGCCACCTCTCTTTGCATTGCCGCAAGGATTCATATCCGCTAGGGATCTGGGTGAGGATGAACTGAACCTCTCTGGCAAGGACCCAGAGGTTCAGAGTAAGCCTTCCCTGTTAGCCGCCTAAAGACGTTACCGCCTAAAGACGTTGCCCAACTCTCACCACGAGGAGGTAGGGATAGGCACGTGGAAAAGACCACGAAAATCGATCAGTAGAACATCACAGATCATCAGCTGCCATTTTCCTTAAGAGAGTCATAGTTACTCCCGCCGTTTACCCGCGCTTCATTGATTTTCTTCACTTTGACATTCAGAGCACTGGGCAGAAATCACATCGCGTCAACACCCGCCGCGGGCCTTCGCAATGCTTTGTTTTAATTAAACAGTCGGATTCCTCTGGTCTGCACCAGTTCTAAGTCAACTGCTAGTCACCGACCGAGGCGGGACAAGGCATTAGGATATATATTTTTAAAAAAATTGTTTGGGTGGGTGACTAGTTTATTTTGTATTATGGTGTGTTTTGTAGCACTAGTTTTTAATCCTGCTCTCTTCTATCTGTTTGGATGGAGGCTGTTTGTTTGACAATGCTGTAAGCATACAGCCCTCTGATCACAACCCATGGTGATGGAGCCTGGAGATATTTCTTTCCTATTATTCCTAAAGGCAACAGTTCTTTTATGACACTCTTACTGAAGTTACATGTAACTTGAAGTTTCTGTTGCACAGTGCCTGTAGACTACTGTAACACCCTTGTATTGCTTCAGGGTCTCAGATGTATGGCATCCACCTCTGCAGAGTCTGTCAAGTCTTCTGCCTCTGGCTAGACATTTTCATATTGGGAGCACATTGATCCAGAGTTTTATGGAATTAAAGTAATCCCTTCCTGACAGAAAAAACGTGCAACCATGCCTCTTGGTTTGGTGTTTTTTATTCTTCTTCTAATCCCCACCATCAATGTGCTCCCCTGCTTCATCAAACCATCTTTCACTCAGGGCCCCTGTTGTATGCAGGAAGCTTCCTCTGTTTCTGAAGTGATGTTCCATTACCTTCAGTTCCTTTGCCAGGAAGTTCCCAGCTAAGGACTGCTCGCCGACCTGCTTAAAGGCAATTTATGAAGGTGTTCTCTATGCAGGCTCCGTATGCTCCATCTCAGGCATTGCAAACAGGGACCTTCATCATTTACCTTGATGTGAAACTACGCCACAAGTCTGGATGCCGGGAGACCAAGCCAGGTTCTACTTGTCCTTGAGCAGTGGTCCATGCAGGTAAGCATTTGCACCCCTCCAACTCTAACGACAGCTGGTTGTAAAAGTAGGGTAGGACCACGATCTGTAGTCTGAACACCCTGTGTTGGGGTTTCAGGGAACCCTTCCTCAAGATTTCCCTTGCAGCCTCTCAAGGGGTTGGATTGCCATTCTTCTCTCAGTGGTGAATGGGATCCTAAGCTATTTCCATTTGCCTGACCTCTTTAGTGCCATTTTAGCATTGACCACCACTTTCTTTTGGGGACGTTCTCCAGGGAGACCATTAGGCACTTCTGGTAATGATGGTAAGCCCACATAGTGCCAGATGCTCCACCACTGCGTGAGGGCTGTGAGGTTGGATACTCAGCTCTTCAAAGGAGCTGCTGTTTTTCCTAGCAGCGGGTATCATGCATTGGAACCACAAAATGCATGAATGGATTATAGAATAGTAGAGTTGTAAGAGACCAGGAATCATCTAGTCAAAGCTCCTGAAATTCAGGATTACTGGAACAGCAAGTCCAAATTCTGCCTGGGTCATCCAAAACCCTGAAGGGGTGGGCTCCCATTCTGGAAGATGCATGACAGCTGTCTAACAACTGGAAGACTGGAAAGGGATCCCCTGGGGAAAAGCTAAGGGGGTGGTGGGTGCTCCTCCAGTTTTTTGAGTGTGGAAAGTGTAGCCTGCTGCACAGTTGTCTACATGAGCCTCAGAAGGTTCTGTGTCTGGAGAGAAGGATTGATAGGTACAGCTCCTGCTGTGGTCCCCACTGAATTGGGGCTTTGGATGTCTATTGGCACTTATGGTACAATAACCCCAAGATCTGGGTGAGCCCTGGAATGAGTGCAAGTACTTGGGGGGTGGGGTGAAATGAGAAGTAAATCTGATCCTCCATGCTCTGCAATAATTTTCCTACCAGGCTGGCAGAAGCTCAACTGCACGCCACTGAAGTGTCGAGCCCAGCTCGGACAAGGTGATGATGTACCCAGAATAATACCTTTATTGTCATCATATAACCTGTGTACAATGAAATTAAATGAGCCTCCCTCCTCCCTCCAACACTCAATCTCGTTACACTCTGTGTGCTTATCGAACAAAACACCACCTCGCAAGTCAATTTTGCTATGTTATTTTCCGTCCCACAGCCTAACAGCCCACGGATAGAAGCAATTTTTGAGCCTGTTGGTACAACTGATTATACTTCTATATCTCCTGCCCGAGTTTAGTAGACCACCTGAGTTATCTTGATTTTCCATGTGAGGTCCTCACTAAGGTAAACTCCCAGGAATTTAAAGCAGGGGACTCTCTCCACACAGCACCCCCCCCATATACAATGGGGCAGGTTCCCCTCTCTTCCTCCGGAAGTCCAACAGCATCTCCTTTGTCTTACTAATATTTAGGTGCAAGTTATTCTCTGAGCACCTAACCAAGATTTGTTTGTTCATTAATAGGCTGCCACTGGAGTGGATATTGAGATTGGCCCTAGGTTTCCTCTGCTGGATGTATCCATACCTGTGCCAGAATGTTCCTGTACTTCACGTGGATCTGGAGCTTGGCGGTCATGAATTCTCACCGGAGCAGCAGAAGTTTCTGCCGTGATTGGACTTATTGTTTTGCAGCAAACGGTGACACATATAATGTTGGATCTGCATGCAGATAACCAGAACACGGGCATGGAGGCTTTCTGTGATGTTTCAAGTTGTTAAATAAAAATGATTTGTGTATTAGAATATATATTTCAGGTAAGTCTAGCTAAATAAGATGGTGCATGCTTTATATCAAGGTTGTGCCAAGGTAGCCAGATTTGAACATGAATCGTGGCGGACCAGAGGTGGTTCCAAGGACTTGCAGGGGGTGGCACCACCTACTGGTAATTTTTGTTACAATGATAACTGAGATTGCTTCCTTGCATATTTTTGCATTGCTGTTGTGGGTTTTTCTTGCAAGCTGAGGAACAGATTCACCGCATAACTCCACTCCTTCTAGACCCCGAGGAACTTGCGGAAGATTGGGCGTGTAGATTGTTAGGGTGAACTAGAAGGGGTGGGTTGTGTTGAACCAAAGGTGAACTGTTCTGGAAGCTCTGCAAACACCATTTTGGTAGTCAAGGTAACCCCACAATTAATAGGTAGTTGTTGTAGTGATGAGCTCCTATAAGCTAATTGGCTTGTTTTGATGCTATCCTTAACTGGGGGCTTCGGGTGCATGGAGTCCAGAAAGAGGAGCTAGCTGTAAGACTTTGGTATTTGCCACCTATGCCCCCATCTGGTCAAGTGGAGTGATGGGAAGTCCTGGCCGAAGTGAAGAATGCTGCTTTGTGTACAAAGATGCATGAACGTTTGCTTGGATGCAGACAAGCCAACTCCTTGCTGAGGTGTCTGTCCTGCAACTGTAAAGGGTGGGAGGCCTGGCAGACTGATTTGCTGTAATGAAGCTTTTAATAAAGCACTAGAACTGATCACTCTGGAGTTTGACTTCCTTCTGTGGTACGCCTGCACCCAACCGCTCCCACAAGACCTGCTTTGGGTCTGCAGTTCAGAACACCATAGCAGGGTTTTCTTCTCTTCTTCCCCTGAGCTGAAGGAGAAAGTAATAATTTCATAGCCTAGAGAGTCTCAGGAACTTGGCTGGTGGGGGAGGGGAGACTGGGAGTGGCAGAGGCTCCTCAGAAACAACCAGAGTGGTAAGAGATCCACTCTGAGTGAACTGTTCTGAGACCTGTTGGTATAAAGGTAAAGGTACCCCTGCCCGTACGGGCCAGTCTTGACAGACTCGGGGATTGTGCGCCCATCTCACTCAAGAGGCCGGGGGCCAGCGCTGTCCGGAGACACTTCCGGGTCACGTGGCCAGCGTGACAAAGCTGCATCTGGCGAGCTTGCGCAGCACACGGAAAGCCGTTTACCTTCCCGCCAGTAAGCAGTCCCTATTTATCTACTTGCACCCGGGGGTGCTTTCGAACTGCTAGGTTGGCAGGCGCTGGGACCAAGCAGCAGGAGCGCACCCCGCCGCGGGGATTCGAACCGCCGACCTTTCGATCGGCAAGCCCTAGGCGCTGAGGCTTTTACCCACAGCGTCATCTCTGCCTGTCGTGCTCACTGCCATGCCCAGCAGACTGGGCAGCCTCTACAGCAGGGAGATGGCCCTCAGCCCAGTTGGTAGACTGGGGCACCTTGGGACCTCTGGTCCGTTGACTGGGTGGTAGCCCCACTCCTCAGCTGGGTCTACCAGGCAGCCTTTGGCTCTGGGTAGACTGGGTTTTTGATCCCCTTCAGGTAGACCACCTACCAACTAGACCACAAAGCTGTTCAGTTTACCCAGTGGAGAACTGAAGGCTGTCAGCTGTCATGTCTACCAGCTGGAGTGAGAAAGCACCCAGTGCTGAACTCTGCACATGCCCCAAATTGGTAAGACACTTTACGGAAAGGTTCAGCCTTGCTGGTATCCTCTACATATTAACAACCAGCACCCACCTTCCGGCATGTTGGTGGTCTGGTCACGGGTGGGGCGGGCTGGGGACGGTGGTGCCTGGGAGCTGCAGTTTCTCGCCCAGGAGAGGTTCTGGTTGGCATCCGCTGCCCACCTGCACCAGCCCTCCTCAAATAAGCATGAGAGGAAGGTCTCTGGGGGAGAAAGGCAGGTAGGGGGGTCCCAGGGGTGCCTTTTCCGCCCTCCCCCCCTTCCAGTGGTGCCCACATCCCCCCGGCCTCGAATGCCCCCCCGGCTGCTCACTGCAACCCCGTTCATCGCCGCCATCGCCACAGTCCTCTGTGCCATCACAATGGCGGGCAGGGGCCATGCAGCCGCTTGGCAGGCATGGGCGCTCGTCTGGGGCACAGCTCCGGGGACCTGGAAACGTTGGGACGGTGAATGGGGAGCCTCCAAGCCCAGAGGCAGTCTATCTGCTTGGCTGGGTTTGGGGGAGGCGGAAAAGAAAGCCTTACTTTGGGGGCCACAGTTCCTGAACTGCACATCATCCAGCGCCACGCTCGCCACTGAGGAGAAGGTCACCTGTGGAGAGGGAGGCAGCGCTCTTGACATGCTCTGGAGAAGGAGCTGGCCAGGGAGAGCGAGGAGCCCAAGACCCACCAGGAAAGCGCCACGGACTCTTCAGGTGTAGGCCAGCAGGGGGCGCCAGAGGACGAGGCAGAGCTTCACCACAGAGGGGCAATGTGGCCGCCGTGGCTAAGCTCCAATGTGAAGCTCCCGTTGAGTCCTGCAGGGGAAGGGTGAGGGGCCTGGGGGTCATCTAGTCTGACCCGGCGAGGATTGCGGTTTGCCATTTGGTCTCAGCCACTCTCGTTTTTATCAGTCCCCAATGGGGGACGGGAAGCAAGGCACCAGTAAATGTCATTATAAGAATGATCAGGATGGTATTTCTTTACGCCGACCCTACCAGGCGGGTCAGTAGTCTAGAAATCAATAATAATTATCTGATACAATACATCCTGCAGTTTAGAAACGTATTATGTGATATTGATACGGAATTATAAGAACCGTGCCAGGGGGCATCTCCTCCACCACATTGGGGAAAAAGCCAAGTAGGGGGCTCTGGGCCTGTTGGATTTCCGACCTCCAGCGCCCCAAGCTCACCTGTCTCGGCCATGCTGTACCAGGCGCTTAGGCCGCGGCACTCAGGGTCAGGGAGTGGAGTCGGGCGGGGGCGGCAGGCGGCTTGGCTCGCTGCTCTGAGGAGCTCGTGCCAGCCTGAGGGGAGGTTGAAGGGCGCCAGGTCAAAGGGGTGCTCTAACTGCTAGGCTATGTTTCCTCTCCCTTCAAATGAAGCACCTTTACCTGGGCGGAGCCCAACGTGTGGTCGGGGTGGGTGGGCGCCGGGTGCCCAGCCTCTGCCACGCCCTGGGCGCCACCGGTACCCAGAGTTCCTGCCTGCCTTGCAGCGCCACATCATCCAGCGCCACGCTCACCACCGAGGAGAAGGTCACCTGTGGAGAGGGAGGCAACGCTCTTGACATGCTCTGGAGAAGGAGCTGGCCAGGAAGAGCGAGGAGCCCAAGACCCACCAGGGAAGCACACGGGACTCTTCTGGTGGAGGCCAGCAGGGGGCGCCAGGCGCCAGAGGACGAGGCGGAGCTTCGCCATGGCTCAGCTCCAATGTGAAGCTCCCGTTGAGTCCTGCAGGGGAAGGGTGAGGGGCCTGGGGGTCATCTAGTCTGACCTGGCGAGGATTGCAGGTTGCCATCTGGTCTCAGCCACTCTCGTTTTTATTAGTCCCCAAAAGGGGACCCGAAGCAGGGCACCAGTAAATGTCATGATAAGAATGATCAGGATGGTATTTCTTTACGCCGACCCTACCAGGCAGGTCAGTGGTCTAGAAATCAATAATAATTATCTGATACAATACATCCTGCAGTTTAGAAACGTATTATGTGATATTGATACGGAATTATAAGAACCGGGCCAGGGGGCATCTCCTCCACCACATTGGGGAAAAGGCTGAGTAGGGGGCTCTGGGCCTGTTGGATTTCCGACCTCCAGCGCCCCAAGCTCACCTGTCTCGGCCATGCTGTACCAGGCGCTTAGGCCGCGGCACTCAGGGTCAGGGAGTGGAGTCGGGCAGGGGCTACCCGGAGTGCCTGCCTGCCTTCCCTTCCCCCAGGTAGACCTGGCAGGAGCCTGTCCCTTGGTTTAGGAGCTGCGCTGCACTACTATTTATTTTGACTCAGCCAGCATGATGTTGGAGTTTGGTTACACCCATTTTATTCCAGAAGCAGCCTTCTCTTTCTCAGCGATCTAGTGTCTAGGGGTCCACTCATGTGGGGCGGTGCTGGGGTGGCAGTAGAGCATTTCTGGCGCCTGCCCTCTTCCTTCTAGGTGACGGACGGAGGTGAGACGAGAGCATGGGGCTTTCAGGTCCACTTCGCTTAGGAGGCCGGGTGTAGCTCCATGCCGGAGATGCCAGAAGCGTGGCTGAATTCTTCTTGTGGCGCCTGGCAGCTCTCTATGTGTACTAATGGCCAGGCAAGCTGGGACAGGGACAGAAGGCTTTCCCGGTCTACCGCTGGGAGGTCTGTCCACTCTCCGGTCCCCACGACCGTCGTGCGTGTGGGTGGATGGTCCTCCCCAGTCTACCCGCCGGAGGCCCACCGACCGCCCGGTCTACTGGCGAGGGCCCCGGTCTTCCTGGCGGTGGGCGGGACTGCGGACGCTGTCCCACAGTCTGCCGGATGGGGAGGCTGGGCCTCGCTGGCCCCCTTCCGAGAATAGGGGGCCTCCCGGTCTACCCACCAAAGGGCCAGTCTGCTTCTCGCGTCCACGGCCCCCCCGGTCTGGACCGCCACCGAGGGAAGGGGCTGGCAGTGGTGCCTGGTCTCCCGGCCCTCGGCTTCCCTCCGGTCTACCAGCCTGCCTGGGAGCGGGCACCGCACCTGGATCGGGTCGCTAAAAGAAGGCAACAGAACGCGGGACGGTCACGGGGAAGGGGAGGCTTCCACTCTGCCTGAACGCCGGTCGCCGGCCGGCCCGCGGAGGGCCCTCCCCGACGCGACCGTCGCTGCCTGGGAGGACGGGGGGATAGCGACGTGGGCCCTGTCCCCACTATCGAACGCGGGGTCCGCCCCACCGTGGGGTAGTCCCCACCCTCACTCCCGCGAGAAGCTGGGAAACGCTGCCGCGGCCACGGGAGCACAGGGGCCGCTCGAGGGTCGCAGGTCCTGGAGCCGGGATCGCAGCCCGCCGCCAGCCGCTCTCCCACCTCGCCGCCCCTCTCCTGGCAGAGACCTGAAGGCCAGTGGCACGGGATCGGAGAAGGAGGCTGCTCACCGCTGCTCCGAGGGAACCGCATCAGACGCTGCGCCTGCGAAGGCTGGAGAAGGGCAGGCTTCCGGGCGTCTGTGTGGGTCTGGCCCCTACCCGGTCCAGGGGCTGGGTTGCCGGTGGCCCCGGTCTACCGGCCGGCAAGCGGGGACGGGTGGGCCTGTCTTCCCGGCGGAAGGAGGGGAAGCGCTGGCCGTTTTCCTGGGTGGCGGCCGTGTCTGCCTCCCCGCCGGCCGGAGGGGCCGGCAGCGTGGCCCGTTCTTCCTGCGGCCGCTGGCGGCTCTCCTCCGGTCCACTGCTGGCCAGGGAAGCTGGGACGTGGCGGTCCCCTTCCGAGGACGGAAGGCTTTCCCGGTCTACCGTTGGGAGGTCTGTCCGCTGCCGGTCCCCCCGTTCTTCGCCCGGCCGAGGCGGCTGGGGCTTCCCGGTCCTCCCCTGTCTACCCGCCGGAAGGCGCGCCAACCGCCCGGTCTACTCGCGAGGGCCCCGGTCCTCCCGGCAGCGGCCGGGCCTGCAAGCGGAGTCCCCGCGGTCTGCCGACTGTGGAGGCTGGGCCTTGCCTTGCCCCTTCTGAGAACAAGGGGGCCTCCCGGTCATCCCGGTCTGGCACGGGGCTGGCAGCGGTGCCCGGTCTCCCGGCCCTGGGCTCTGCTGGCAGAGTCTGGGTCCTGCCGGTCTACCTCCGAG